ATTTTCTATTTTCCTTTTGCCGCCTTAATTTTCTCCATAACACCCCTCAGCATGTGACCTCCTCCATATTTTTAATTCATCTTATTTATGGTCCATTTGCCTTCATGGAAGCATAAGCCCCATGAGGGCAGAAATCTTTGTCATTCCATTTGCCATTGTGAGCTCCGTGTCTTAAACTGTTTGGTACATAATAGGTGCTCAATATTGAGTTCAGTTCAGTCACTCAGTCATGTCCGACTCTTTGCAACCCCATGAACTGCAGCATGCCAGGCCTCCCTGTCCATCACCAGCTCCTGAAGTTTATTCAAACTCATGTCCATTGAGTCAGTGATGCCATCCAACCATCTCATCCTCTGTCAATCTCTTCTCCTCCTGCTTTCAATCTTTCCCAGCATCAGGGTCTTTTCAAATGAGTCAGTTCTTCACATCAGGTGGCCAAAGTATTGACTTTCAGCTTCAGCATCAGTCCTTTCAATGAATATTCAGGACTGATTTCCTTTAGGATGGACTGGTTGAATCTCCATGTGTTCAAGGGACTCTCAAGAGTCTTCTCCAACACCACAGTTCAAAAGCATCAATTCTTCCGTGTTCAGCTTTCTTTATAGGCCAACTCTCACATCCATACATGACTACTGGAAAAACCATAGCCTTAACTAGATGGACCTTTGCTGGCAAAGTAATGTCTCTGCTTTTTAATATGCTGTCTAGGTTGGTCATAATTTTTCTTCCAAGGAGCAAGCATCATTTAATTTCATGGCTGCAGTCACCATCTGCAGTGATTTTGGAGCCCCCCAAAATAAAGTCTGTCACTGTTTCCACTGTTTCCCCATCTATTTGCTATGAAGTGATGGGACCAGATGCCATGATCTTAGTTTTCTGAATGTTGAGTTTTTTGGGGTTTTTTTTGAGTTCTCAAAATGAAAAAAAGATTTACAAATATAAATATCTTTAAAAAGTAACAAAAGTGCTACATATGTGATCAAGGAAAAAAATTCCATTAGTTACTACCATTTAAAGTAGATTAAACTTTACAAATATTACCACATCCATTATCAATATGGCTTCCAATTATTAAATAAATTGCCTGTAGCAATATAGCTTTTCACACCTCTACAAGGACAGAGCAAAGAGAACACCAAAGCAAGTCACATCTCGCAGACCCGCCATGGAAGTGGCAAACGTCCCTGCTTTTTTCTGCTCCTACTTAGGAAAGCTCTTGCGCGTGTGACAGTCAGCAGGCATAATCCCACCACAGAGTCCTCTACCAACCTCTCACGTTGAGGGGGTTCAGCGTAATGGCTACAGGGACTGGAAGTTCGTCCACTCACTTCTGGCCTTAGTTCCATCCTCGAATCACCTTTTTGTTTTTTTGGTAGCAAGGAAAGGGGACACAGACAGGAGGCAGAGCCGCTTCCACGATGACTTCCAGCACCTTTCCAGGTGGGCATGTACCTGTGCCATGTACTGTATAGTGGTTCTAATAACATCCACCATTATTACACATTCAGCTCATGGTTTTTCCCAATGCTCTCAAGCTGGGTTTTGTGGGTTTTTTAACTTTTTTTTTTTGTCATTTTTCTGTTTAATCATGGTCTCAAAGGCAGAAGGCAGTATTTTATCTACTCAGTCACACAGCTTGTGAGAGGAAAGGATGTCTGTGTCAGGCATCTTAACATCAACTGAAATCTGAGATTGAGTTTTTCCACTGACATTCTTAGCACAGCACCCAAAGAAGTATAATCTAGCCACAGTGTGACTATTATGAGGCACGGCTTATTGCGGCTGGAAATCAATTATTCCCACATGGAGGTGGGGGTTCTAGTGTTCCTTTTACTCTGCAGACACTCCCCAAATGGTGTCTGTCAATCCTGGCCACACTACCTCAGCTTGCATCCTACCAGTCTTGGGGAAGGAAGAGGGGTGGAGACTAGTGTTACAGGAATCCAAAGGTAACCAAGGTTTTACACGGAGCCTACTATTTGAGAACTGAGGGCTAGCTAAATACCTGGAAGCACTCTCTTGGAATGCTAAGACAGAGCAGCAAGATTTTCTAGCCTCGGGGGCTGGGAGAGGGAAGTTTGGTTGGTTGGTTGGTTGGTTATTAGTTACTGGGAATTAATACTGAGAGAGTATATGCAAGGCTGAGGGCACCATGCCATCTTCACAGAACAAGACCCTAAGGGCTAACCGACATACAAGAAACTGCAAGTTATTCTGTAAGAACACATGTTAAGGACCGAGGAAAGTCTGCTAAGGTGCTACGTCTAAACTAAGTTAACTTCTCGCGTTCAGCCCTCCCTCATCAGTCGTCATCCAGGGCCTCTGTCTTGATTTCGTTGGCTCCTTGTCGGGCCAGTGCCAAGACAGTGTGGTTGACCGCTGCCATTTCCACGGCTAACGAGATGGGGTCTTGGTGGTCACTATGGCTAGTGCTGTCATCCTGCTCCGAGTAGTCATCCCCGCCCACGTCATCACTGTTGGAGTGGCCTCCTGGACTCTGTACATCTATCCCATGACTCTCCAGGATTGCTGCTTCGATGTTGGCTCGTCTCTTGATCTCCTTCCGCCTGTTAGCAAACCAATTATATACTTTCAGGGAGGTAACTCGTTCCAGATCTGACAGTTTTTTGCCTGGCTTCTGTATCACTGCGTTGCAAGCATTTGCAATTTCTTCTCTCTTTGCTTCATCTGGGTATTGATTCTCATTGAAGTAACTTTCCATGACAGCCAGACACTCCTTTCTCCAGGTAAATCGACTGCCTCGCCGTAGTCGGAAGGTGCCAGACGTGGCTGAGACTGGGGGAGGCGTTTGTCTCCACTCTGGGTCCTCTATTGGAATGGGTGCTGGTCTCATACTTAGCGTAGCCCCAGGGTTTGCCTTTTCAAGTTGATACCATCAGTAAAATGCTCTTTTCTTCTGTTCACTCAGGTCTGATCCCTGCCGCAACAACCAGTGAGAGATCCGGCTCTGGCTGATACCTGTTACCTGTGCAACAACTGCTTGGGAAATCCTCCGATTAGCAGGAAAGGCTATGATTTCCTCTTTTATCACACTGCTGTCCCTCCTCATTAATTCCTCCACTTTATCATCTACATCTAGGTCCTCTTCTGAGGCTTCAAAACTGTATGACCTCTGACCCATGCTGTTGGCATGGTAGCAGGTTGGTGACATCTTCCCATTGGACGTGGGTAATCGCTCGTTATTCTCCCTCCCGTTCTGATTGGTAGTACAAGGCTGTGGGGAGGTGTTGTAACTATTGCCAGGTGACGGGGACATGCCCGAATGCTGGGTCTGCGTGGAAGCTGTAGCTGTAGAGGAAGATGCTGGAACATTGTTGGTACTATTCCCATACGAACTTCCTCCGTAGCTGGACCTTCTTCCAAACTTGTCGCTATGCTCTTGATCAAGGCGGTCCAGAGTTTCCAAGGCATGGAGAATTTCATGTTTAGTCATTCCAGTACTCCCGAGGCGCTGGAGTAGATCTATCTGCTCTATGGTAAATCTGGGTTCATCTGTATAGTGAGACATGGTTTCCAGCAAAACCACTGGAAAGGAACTGAGCATACTTTACATGAGGTGAATCAATATCCTTGCTAGAGATGACCAGCGTTATTTATCATTCTCAAGTCATGAGGAGAGGCTCTGCACCTGAGCTGGGGAGCACGCAACTTTCTCATACTTCTGCCTTTGAAAACCTGGGGCTCAGAAAGCTTGCTGAGTTCTCTCTGCCCGGCACGGCCCCCTCCCCAACGTCCCGGTACGAAGGGCTGAGGTCTGAGGTGGGAGGGGTGTCTTCCGCGTGGGGCGCCCGTCGGGATGGGTCTGGGGAGGGGTTGAGGCCGGCGCAGGAAGAGGAGAAGGGGGAGGGGAGGCCCCTATCTCCCAGTCTCCCCCTGAAAAACCTCCCTTGTCTCTGAATATTGAGTTTTAAGCCAACATTTTTACTCTCCTCTTTCACTTTCATCAAGAGACTGTTTAGCTCTTCGCTTTCTGCCATAAGGATGATGTCATCTGCATATCTGAGGTGACTGATATTTCTCCCAGCAATCTTGATTCCAGCTTGTGCTTCCTCCAGCCCAGCGTTTCTCATGATGTACTCTGCCTATAAGTTAAATAAGCAGGGTGACAATATATAGCCTTGATGTAATCCTTTCCTGATTTGGAACCAGTCTGTTGTTCCATGTCCAGTTCTAACTGTTGCTTCTTGACCTGCACACAGATTTCTCAGGAGGCAGGTCAGGTGGTCTGGTATTCCCATCTCTTGAAGAATTTTCCACAGTTTGTTGTGATCCACACAGTCAAAGGCTTTGGCATAGTCAATAAAGCAGAAATAGATGTTTTTCTGGTACTTAGTAGGGGCTCAATATAGATGCATTAAATAAACTGTTGACAAAATAATTAATAATTGGCATAAATAGTCCCTGGTATAAAGTATGATGATGGAGAAAGCTAAATCAGTTTGTTGGGAGGGGAAGGGGCACTTGGCAGAGCATGTGATAGTTGAGGATGAGTAATTGATAAGAATTCGCCAGGGGGAAGGGAGAGGAGGTACATCAGGTAAAGTGCCAGCAAGGTGGTGCCTATGAGGCTGGGAATCTGTGATCTGAGATCCAAAAGAAGGTGCCTGCTTCCAGGAAGGGAGCCAACCAAAAGGCAGCTTGGATCTGGATGGGTACGTGGACGAAAGCCAGACATGAAGGCATGTCAGTCATGTAGGAATTGTGGAGTCTGTCCTACAAGGAAGGAGGGGTCAATTCATCATTTTAAGTAGGAAAGTCATATGATTAGATCAACAATTTTAATGTTTGACTTTGACTCCAATATGGAGAAAGACTGGAGGGGAGCAGGACTAAGTAGGAGATCCCTACTCTCATAGAGTGTATGTTCCCTGCAAAGAGAGAAAATGAATAAACAAATTTTCTATTTCATCAGTTCAATGCTTGAGCATCCTCACTACATGGTAGCTGACTGCAAACACTGTATCTTCTTTGGAATGTAGTCTTGCAGGTCACACAACATCCACTTGTTGCCTTCTATTTGTGAGAAGTGAGTCACTAAGTCAAGCCCACATCGAGAGGGAGGAGAATCAGATTCCACCTTCTGAACGGAAATTTTGTGAGAAGATTCTAAAACCACTTGAACTACACTGATAATAAAGACCATCTTTCAGGTACCTAACAGATGTTAAGATCTGTGCTATTTTATATATATTCTCAAACCTGCATCTTGCAGATAGGGTTACTGACATTCAGAAGGTTCACTGACTTGTCAAAGTATCAAGGCTGGAAAGTGACAGAGACAGTGTTTATATCCAGGCACTCTAACTCAGATTTCAAGGTGGCTTTTGTTTTGCCCCATAACCAACAGGCCTTCACCCTTTCCACAGACCATACACAGAACCTTAAGAAAAAATGTGGCATTTTGATCATGTATAATGCATCAGGTATTTGTTTTAAATTATCTGCTACTCAGAAACAATGACCACTTTGTTGCAAATATGAAATTATATTAATTCGAACTTCACAATTTAGAATCTGCAATAATCATTAAGGTTTGCAATGTCATTGAAACCTTTCAAACAAGTTGATGGTATACATAAGATTTCAATTTGTTTATTTAGTTGTAAACATTTATTCATTTATGGGTCTTTGATGCTGTGCAGTCTTTTCTCTAATTATGGAGAGTGAGGGCTACTTTTCAGTTGCAGTGTGCTGGCTTCTTATCGTGGTGGCTTTTTTTGTTGTGGAGAACAGGCCCTAGGGCTCTTGGGTTTCAGTAGTTGCAGCACATGGGCTCACCAGTTGCGGCTCGCAGACTCTAGAGCACAGGCTCAGTAGTTGTGACACGTGAGCTTAGTTGCTCCACAGCATGTGGGATCTTCCCGGATCAGGGATTGAACCCATGTCTCCTGCATTAACAGTCAGATTCTTTTCCATTGGACCATCAGGGAACCCAAGATTACACTTTAAATGTGATCATTCTCACAGATGTTGATTATGCAAAATTCAAAATCGTATTTTTATTAAAGCAGCTTTGGCAAAATTCATATGCTCTAAAGCTTCTTGGATGAGAATTTATGTCTCTTTTCATACCGGAAATGATTAATGTGAATATTTCCCCTAAGATAAGCATTTTGACTGGTTCACTGTTTCCAGCTGATATTCTTCTTCACTCCCAAAGGGATATGGAGTCTTAGACTTTATGTTTTTCCTATTTTTATTTAAATGTGGCACGATTGAGGACATCTCAGTGCCCGCCCTGAATCCAAACTACTAAAAATAGGGTGCTAAGAAAGAAGTGTCTTTTTAGGGGTACCTTTGACACTTGTAGGGCTTCCCTGGTAGCTCAGAACGTAAAGCATCTGCCTGCAATGTGGGAGATCTAGGTTCAATCCCTAGGTCAGGAAGATTCCCTGAAGAAGGAAATGGCAACCCACTCCAGTACTGTTGCCTGGAAAATTCCATGGATGGAGGAGACTGGTAGGCTACAGTCTATGGGATCGCAAAGAGTTGGACACGACTGAGCAACTTCACTGGTTCACTGGTTCACTGGCTCAACACTTGTAAATATGCAAGAAACATAAGCTACAGCTGCATGCAGAAGCCACGCTGAGAGTTTGTGATGTGCCTGCTATTAAAAAAAAAAAAAGCTTAGTTTGGAGGATCCTGAACATCTGTCTTGAACAAGCCTGACACAAAGGAAAATGCAATGGAATAGAGACTCCTTTGCTCTGAGAAGACCCTGATGCTGAGAAAGATTGAAGGCAACAGGAGAAGAGGGCAGCAGAGGGTGAGATGGTGAGATAGCATCACTGACTCAATGGACATGAATCTGAGCAAACTCCAGGAGATAGTGAAGGGCAGGGAAGCCTGGTGTGCTGCAGTCCACAGGGTTGCAAAGAGTCAGCCACAACTTAGCGACCAAACAACTACAAGCTCTGAGAAAATGAATTAGAGGCATGTTCCCCTGTTGCGAGCCAATGGCAGGCAGCTGCCTTACAAATCAGCTCAGATCTATGTCTGTGTGAGGCCCAGGCTGGCTTGGGAGAGGCTAGAGACAAGCCCAAGAGCTTCTGGAGTTCCTTTCAGAATCAACTACTGGAACTTTCCTCTCTTTCCCAGAATGCATTTTCTTCTGTTTTCTGCCAAGTCACTACTCTCTCTCCTCCCTGAAGTTTTACCTAATTCACATGCAGTACATATTTTGTCTTTTATTTTCTGTCTCATACTCTGTCTCTTACCCCTTACTTCAACACAAACACAAACTCACTATTTGGGAAAGATCTGCCTTTGTCTGCCTGCCTTAGTTACAATATCTACCAATTATGTGTTTATTTGGCTGCATTGGGTCTTAGCTATAGCACACAGGATCTTTCATTGTGGCACACGGGCTCTCTAGTTGCGACTCTCAGGATTCAGAGCTATTGCATTCAGTAGTTGTAATAGACAAATTTAGTTGCCCCAAGGCATGTGGGATCTTAGTTCCTGGACCAGGGCTTGAACCCGTGTACCCTGCATTTCTAGACAGAGTTTTAACTGCTGGACCACCAGGGAAGTCCCCAGTTTCTACTAATTTTGAAAAGAAAATCTATTCTGGAAAATCCTGACTACATCTAGCTAACAACTCACCCTCTGTCACAGAACTCACAGTGGCAGAGCTGAGGTTCAAATCCCCATTCTTGATATCTCTGCCCCAGCTGCCTCACCAGCAGCCTCTGGTCAGCACACAGGCAACGTGATCTCTGAGTGTTAAAAGGTTTTAAATTTGATCTCCAGGGGACAGATTACTTTTGCTCTTTCAGCTCTTCATTTCAGAACATTTATAATCCTCTTATTGTGTGGCTCATGATTCCATGGATTTGAATAGAACATGGATCAAATCAAACCCCTCAAAACACAATGACACACAAGCCAGTTAAAGACTAGTATACAATGGTGTATGTTAATAACAGCATTGCCTGCAATGCTATAGCATCTGATCTGTGTATTTTACATCAGAGAGAAAGAAGCAATTTGACCTGAGCAAACATCCTGTGAAATCTTGGGGAGGAGGTGGACCTATGTGGCCTTGGAAGCAGAGGGCCTGGGTTTGAGTTCCGGTCCTACCACGTACAAGTTGCTTGCTTTCTGTGCCTCAGCTCTCACATCTGTAAAATGGGCATAATAAAGAGACCTATTTTGTAGGCTTGAGGATTGAAGGAGTTCATATATATCAAGCTACTGGGACAATGCCTAACATGTCACAAGCTCCTAAAAATGTTAGCAACTATTTCACTTGAGCAGGAACTATTCTCACTGCATTGTTTAGATAAGAAGACAGGGGAAAAGTGAAGTTGGCTGATTTGCACCAATCCCACAGCAGTCAGTTAAAGCAATGTTTGACTTCAAATATGCTTTTCACGACCCATGGTCTTTTGGAGAGGCTAACAGGAAGCAACTGCATTTTACAATTTGCCCTCATAGTCTCATATCTCCCTGGTCCTCCCTCCACTCCATCTCCTCAAACACCATGTGACGGTGTCATTTCACCCTCAGAATCATCCTAATGAAGGCAGGGAAGTTGCTGATTTACCATGTACACTTTCTGGAAATCCCCAGCAAGGCTAACATTTAATATTTCCCAAGAATATAAGCTCCCCCAGATTGAGGTCCACTACTCCAAATTATTAAATAGTCCACAGCATTTTTAGAAATTCTGCTGAGTGACAGCCTGTCGTCAGAGGCAGCCAGGGGACAAGAGGTGGAGAGAGCAGCCCAGCCTAGGGGATGCTGACCTTTTCCTCTTGCCTGTGGCTGGGTGGTGACTCCATCCCAAGATCCCTGGTAGAGGCAGCCCATCAGGCAGGGGTTCATGCTCCACCAGGGATTCAAGTACACTCAGGATCAGCTGATAACCCCCTGAAGCAAGTTTACCCTCACTAACATCTTTCAGGCAATTGGAGACACACTGTCCCCTCTAAGCTGCTTATGCCTCGAGCCCTTTGATTTCACCAGTGCACAGATACCTGGGCTGGGGTGGGGAGACAGGACAGGAAAGCCATCAGTTTTCAGTGTAGCTCTATATAACTCATAGATCTTTAAAATGTGCCATGTTCAACAAGATAGAATGTTAAAGAGTGTAAATTCTCCTCTAGAAACTTACAGCAGGCTTGGGGCAATGAGACCAAATTCAATTTCTGCAGAAATGGAATCAAACAGAAGCTGAGTTCATGTGTAAACAGAAGTACTTTGTAGAGGGTGGACCTTGAAATTTGACCTTCATATTGAGGGAGGAGTGGGTAGCAGAAGATTGTTCCCGAAAGGGAAGAATGGTCGTTGGGACAGAAGGCGGGACCCAAGAAGCTGAAGTCCTTAGGAGCCCAGGCTCTCTTCAGTGGTGTGGATATAAATGGTGAGGAACTAAAGATGCAAATGGAGACTTTCCTGATGGTCCAGTGACTCCACGCTTCCAGTAGAGGGATCACCGTCCCATCCCTGGTCAGACCACACATGCTACACGACTTAGCCAAAAAACAGAGAAGAAGAAGAAGAAGAAGATGCAGGAGTGCATGGTTGTGGGAAAACAAATGGATTATTTTTCAATGGAAAATCAATTTCACTTGGATGCCCTTAACACTAAAAAGTCTTCAAAATTCTAAGTTGAGACAGTCCAAAGATTCCTGTCTCCTTCGGAAGAGCTTCATATGAGTGTTACCCAGGGCAGGCCAACATCCTGCATCTGAGAGAACGATCACTATAAGTTCATATAAATGCTTCCTAATTCCACATTCCATCTTGGCTAATTGGGAAAATGATATTTTTGTTAATCAAATAACTTAAAGAGAGGGTAATCAAACATTACACTCTGACAAACCAAACTGACTGGGCTTTGTGATTTGATTAACTCAAAGAGAAGAGATGTAGCTGCTTCCTGTTTTTTAATCTATTTCTAAAAAGCCTTCATTTGATTTGATACCTTTAAATCCATTTGATGGCATGTTTTACATAGCTTTTCTTAGAGACTGGGTCAGAAGATTGCCTCTCAAAATCAACTGAGAGAACATTCTATACCCCACATACACACAAAAAACACAATGTCCTAATATAAATAATAGTGTACAAAATAGAAACTAGGGTTAAAAAAAACCAAAACTGAATCTTACCAAGAGAGGGATAGTCGACAAATGATAAAATTCATCAAAAAAAAAAAAATTCATCAAGATCTGATTCAAAAATCTTTGTATTAATACAGTTTTCATTTTAATATTGTTTCTTTGATTATTTTATAATAAAAATAGTTTCCAATTTTTCCAAATAAAAGTAGAATGTGATTCATATCTGAGAGTATTTCATATACGCATGGATTTTGACTTAAGGGAAAAATCCCTACTTGGGGTTAAAAGTTGGAAAAGCCATATAAATGCACTAGAGCTAATATTCAATTTATGTGTTCATTAAAAGTGTGTGTGTGTGTGTGTGTGTGTGTGTGTGTGTGTGTTAGCCGCTCAGTCATGTCCGACATTTTGCGACCCTATGGACTGTAGCCTGCCAGGCTTCTCCTTCATGGAATTCTCCAGGCAACAATACTGGAGTGGGTTGCCATTTCCTTCTACAGGGGATCTTCCTGACCCAGGGATTGAACCCAGGTTTCCTGTATTGCAGGCAGATTCTTTTACTGCTGAGCCACCAGGGAAGCCCCATTAAAAGAGTAAATTTGTACATGTCCCATGAAGTTAAAAAATCTTACACAAGTACATTCTTTGTGCCACTCTAATAACTAAACCTTAAACACACAAACACACAAGTCCCAGAGTCATATGGATAATTAACCACCCAGTTATATGAGTTCCTCTTCTCAAATCCTGATCCTCTCCTCAGCTCACATTGACTTCATTTTTAGGATATTTTAGGCCAAAAGAAGAATCGTTTTTGGCTAGCTTCTCAAAGATCATGGGCTCGTTTCCCCTCCCTCACATGACACAGCCCCAGGTTGGTTGGGCAGGGCAAGTGATGGGCTCAGTGTCAGCTCTCCTTTCCTGATGAGAACGATCCTCGGTACCAGCTTAGCTGCCTCCTCCAGAAACCCGCGGTGTTTTGCCTCAGGCTCTCTCTCTTAAAGGAAATTGGACACAGCTTAAAGATTTGATTATTCTGACTTCCACAGCTCATTAAGGTAACACCTAAAGCACCGAGTCCCGGAACCCCCACGAGTGTCCTGAGTCCTCACCGGCATTTACCTTCAACTTCCGGTGATCTGCATTTTCCGGGACGGTGGACCACATTGCCCAGTGGTGGGCATCCCGCGCAGCAACCCTTCATTTGATAGAACAGAGATGATCCCGTTGCTGCTCAAATCTGGTAATTATCTCCTCTTCCCACACCGCATGGCCCCTTCTCATGCCATGTCAGATGAATAGTCAAAAGAGAAAAAGAGAGAGAGCACGCGGCAGGCACGGGGCTAACAGGTGTTACAGGCAACTTCCTGTTCCCCGTCTGTCGGCAACATCAGAATCTCCTCCAGTGTGATGGGCTGGCAGGTACGATGGACCAGGGGGCCGGAGGGCTTCACCTGCTCGCCAGGGTCTGTCTTCACTGTCCTCTCCTACTAGGATCTGTTGACAGTTCTTCCGAAAAACACTTTTTTGAAAAGAGAGAAAAGGGGCTTAATACATCACCTGAGTTCAAAGCTCCAAAGTACATACACTGACAAATCTTCCAAACCATCACTTCTCCTTTGTTTATTGCTTTCCACTGATATTTTCATTGCTATCTTTTCTCCAAAATGGCACACTTCAGTTCCCCAAAACTGGATTGTTGCCAGCTCCCTGGTTACCTCCCTTTCCATCATCAGCTGACCACACAGGAAGTAAGTGCCCTGGTGAGGCATCACTGACCCATGGCAGAGTCAGTTTCCAGTTGCTCTGGAAAAATGAGAGAACTCAATTTATCAGAGTTCCAGCCTGCAGAGAAAACAAATTCAGAAAGAGCCAGTCCCCTGACCAGTCGTGTTCTATTAACTAGTATATTTAGATGATCACTCAATATCCTGGTGAGAAAAGGAAAAAAGACCCCCTGATTTTTTTTTTTTTTTTTTTTTGCAATTCCACAGTTAAAGAGAATCACAGACCAGGATGCAGGAAGGTCTCCTGGCTGACCTTCTCTCCATTTCCTGCCAAAGGAGGAGTGGGCTCCTGAGACCATTCAGCAGAATGAGGAGGAAGTCAGGGCTGCGCTGCTTCAAATATCTCAAGGCTGAGCAAGCTTTCTCCACTGGGACAAATCTTGGTGCATCTGACCAGGTCACTGTTTTATTAGAAAAGATATCAGTGCTTGAAATTTCACCATGGATTCAGAGTTAAAAGGCAAGAGGGCCAAAAAAAAAAAAAAATTCCTTACAGACAACAAGCTTTAGAAATATAAAGAAGCTCCTATGTAGAGCAGGGATCTTCCAGATGAGTCAGTAGAGAGCGGAACTTGATAATTAGTCAGTGTTGGACGTGAAACAGAACTTTGCTATGTGGCTGGTGTGCAGGATAGTTCCATTGCCTTTCCTATAAAGGGAAAGAAACTGAATGCCTTTCCGGTACTATCATCTCCCACCCTCCCTCTGATGGTGCCTTGCTTTATTAAAAAAAAAAAAAAGCAGAAGCATTTATTTATTCAACAGAATTATAATAGAATCACAAAGCCAGTGTTTATATGGTATATTTGGCCTTATAAACAATACGACCTGTGAACAACTATGATTCTGTTTTAACTATTGAGGAAAGTATAAAAGGAGGCCGATTAAAGTCCAGTTTCAGGTAAAAGGAATGGATCTGCCCTCTGCCTGGAACTGGAAGCTGTTTTAGCTGCTTCTTCCCTTCTCAAAGTCTCTGCTGACCAGTGTCCACTGACTTCCGAGGAATAGCCCACTGACCTCTTTAGCAAAGATTATTTTGATTTCCTAAGTGTTCGCATATTTTCTTCCTCCATGTCTCAGTGTTCTCCCTCCCTAAGCACCAAACTTGAGTCTGGATCACTTTACTTTTAGTGCCTGTATACCACCTAAGCGGGCCTTCCCTGGTGGCTCAGTGGTAAAGAATCTATCTGTGATGCAGGAAATGCAGGTTTGATCCCTGGGGTGGGAAGACCCCCTGGAGGAGGGGCATGGCAACCCACTCCAGTATTCTTGCCTGGAGAATCCCCATGGGCAGAGGAGCCTGGCAGGCTGCAGTCCATGGGGTCACAAAGAGTCAGACACAACTGAAGCCATTTAGCACACCGGGAGACAGCTTGCTTGCTATCCTTTGTTGATAATGACTAACTTCATTGGTAAGGACAAGTTAAATCAACCAGCAGTATTTTGAATTAAAAAAAAAAAAAAAAAAACTCCTAGTGAAGAATAAACAAATAGTAAAAGAAATAAAAAAGCAAATGATAATAAACATAATCTGAACATCTTACTATCACTAACCATGGGTGGAGTTTGTTTTTAAAAAAGTTAAATAATCATAGTTATTTAAATCATCCTATTTAACAAGTGGGTATGCAGCTTTGATTATAACATGTAATATTTCCAGGAGGGCAACTTAGAGTCACTGACTATACAGTAGATCCTTGTTGATTATCTATTTTATGTAGAAGACTATAGTAGTGTGTGTCTGTAAATCCCCACCTTCTAATTTATCCCTCCCCACCCCCCTACTTTGTGGGTTTGTTTTTTTTTTAATGCAGGCTAGTAGTAGTAGTGCTCAGTCACCCAGTTGTGTTTGAGTCTTTGGGACCCCAGAGACTATAGGCTGCCAGGATCCTGTCTATGGGATTTCCCAGGCAAGAATACTGGAGGCGGTTGCCATTTCCTTCTCCAAATGCAGGCTGTAACCCAACAATTTATTTCAGGACCCACGATTTGAACAACACTGATTTTGAGGGAAAAAAGCCCTAATTATTTAGCATGATCAGGACCACTGAACTTTCTGTGGTTCCTCTCCCATTACTATCTCTCCATCCATCTTACTCTCTAGTCACAGGAAATCATTTGCCAGCCTCCAGTATTTGTCCTTCATTTCTCCACGCAGGGTCCAGATCTCCTGAGACTCTTCTCGTCTTATTCTAGGCAAGCAGTCATTCTTCAGTATAAACTCAGGGCCTGTTTTCTAACACCTCACCCAACTGAGTCCTCTGACTCTCATAGCAGCTTGCATCTATGTATCAGTTCAGTCACTCAGTCGTATCTGACTCTTTGCAACCCAATGGACCGCAGCATGCCAGGCTTCCCTGTCCATCACCAATTCCCGGAGCTTACTCAAACTCATGTCCATCAAGTCAGTGATGCTGTTCAACTATCTCATCCTCTGTCGTCCCCTTCTCCTCCCACCTTCAATCTTTCCCAGCATTAGGGTCTTTTCAAATGAGTCAGTTCTTTGCACCAGGTGGCCAAAGCATTGGAGTTTCAGCTTCAGCATCAGTCCTTCCAACGAATATTTAAGACTGATTTCCTTTAGGATGAGCTGGTTAGATCTCCTTGTAGTCCAAGAGACTCTCAAGAGTTTTCTCCAATACCACAGTTTAAAAGCATCAATTCTTCAGCTCAGCTTTCTTTATAGTCCAACTCTCACATCCATACATGTCTACTGGTAAAACCATAGTTTTGACTAGATGGACCTTTGTTGGCAAAGTACTGTCTCTGCTTTTTAATATGCTGTCTATTTGACCATAGCTTTTCTTCCAAGGAGCAATCATCTTTTAATTTCACGGCTGCATTCACCATTTGCAGTGATTTTGGAGATCAAATAAAAGACTCTCACTGTTTCCATTGTTTCTCCATCTATTTGACATGAAGTAATGGGACCAGATGCCATGGTCTTAGTTTTCTTAATGTTGAGTTTTAAGCCAGTGTTTTCACTCTCCTCTTTCACTTTCATCAGGAGGCTTTTTAGTTCTTCTTCACTTTCTACCATAAGGGTGATGTCATCTGCATATCTGAGGTTATTGATATTTCTCCCAGAAATCTTGATCCCAGCTTGTGCTTCATCCAGCCCTGCATTTTGCATGATGTATTCTGCATATAAGTTAAATATGCAGGGTGACAATATATAGCCTTGATATACTCCTTTCCCGATTTGGAACCAATTTATTGTTCCATGTCCAGTTCTGTTATTTCTTGACCTGCATACAGATTTCTCAGGAGGCAGGTCAGGTGGTCTGGTATTCCTATCTCTTTTAGAATTTCCCACAGTTTGTTGTGATCCACACAGTCAAAGGCTTTGGCGTAGTCAATAAAGCAGAGGTAGATTTTTTTTGGAACTCTAGTCGCTTCTTCAATGATTCAACAGATGTTGGCAATTTGATCTTTGGATCCTCTGCCTATTCTAAATCCAATTTGAACATCAGAATGTTCAAGGTTCACATACTGTTGAAGCCTGGCTTGGAGAATCTTGAGCATTACTTTGCTAGCATGTGAGATGAGTGCAATTGTGGGGTAGTTTGAACATTTTTTGGCTTTGCCGTTCTTTGGGATTGGAATGAAAACTGATATTTTCCCGGCCTGTGGCCACTGCTGAGTTTTCCAAATTTGCTGGCATACTGAAGGCAGCACTTTCACAGCATCATCTTTTGGAATTTGAAATAGCTCAACTGGAATTCCATCACCTCCACTAGCTTTGTTCATAGTAGTGCTTTGTAAGGCCCATTTGACTTCTCATTCCAGGATATCTGGCCCTAGGTGAGTGATCACACCATCGTGGTTATCTGGGTCATGAAGATCCTTTTTGTATAGTTCTTCTGTGTATACTTGCCACCTCTTCTTAATATCTTCTGCTTCTGTTAGGTCCATACCATTTCTGTCCTTTAATGTGTCCATCTTTGCATGAAGTGTTCCCTCGGTATGTCTAATTTTCTTGAAGAGATCCCTATTCTTTCCCATTCTACTGTTGTCCTCTATTTCTTTGCATTGATCACTGAGGAAGCTTTCTTTTCTCTCCTTGCTATTCTTTGGAACTCTGCATTCAGATGGCTATATCTTTCCTTTTCTCCTTTGCCTTTAGTTTCTCTTTTCTCAGCTATCAGTAAGGCTTCCTCAGACAATCATTTTGCCTTTTTGTATTTCTTTTTCTGGGGATGACCTTGATCATTGCCTTTCGTACAATGTCACAAACCTCCATCCATAGTTCTTCAGGCACTCTATCAGATCTAATCCTTTAAATCTATTTGTCATTTCCATAGTATAATGGTAAGGGATTTGATTTAGATCTTACCTGAATGGTCTAGTGGTTTTCCCTATTTTCTTCAATTGAGTCTGAATTTGGCAATGAGGAGTTCATGATTTGAGCCACAGTCAGCTCCTGGTCTTGTTTTTGCTGACTATACAGAGCTTCTCCATCTTCTGCTGCAAAGAATATAATTAATCTGATTTTGGTATTGACCATCTGGTGATGTACATGTGTAGAGTCTTCTTTTATGTTGTTGGGAGAGGGTGTTTGCTATGACCAGTGCATTCTCTTAGCAAAACTGTTAGTCTTTGATCTGCTTCATTTTGAACTCCAAGGCCAAATTTGCCTGTTACTCCAAGTATCTCTTGACTTCCTACTTTTGCATTCCAGTCCCATATAATGAAAAGGACATCTTTTCTGGGTGTTAGTTCTAGAAGGTCTTGTAGGTCTTCATAGAACTGTTCAACTTCAACTTCTTCAGCATTACTGGTCAGGTTGTAGACTTAGATTACTGTGATATTGAATGATTTGCCTTGGAAATGAACAGAGGTCATTCTGTCATTTTTGAGATTTCATTTCATACTGCATTTCAGAAATTTTGTTTAGTGTAATGACTACTCCATTTCTTCTAAGGGATTCTTACCCACAGTAGTAGATATAATGGTCATCTGAGTTCACTTCGCCCATTCCAGTCTATTTTAGTTCACTGATTCCTAAAATGTCAATGTTCACTCTTGCCATCTACTGTTTGACCACTTCCAGTTTGCCTTGATTCATGGACCTCACACTCCAGGTTCCTATACAATATTGCTCTTTACAGCATCAGATTTTACTTCCATCACCAGTCACATCCACAACTGGGTGTTGCTTTTGCTTTGGCTCTGTCTCTTCGTTCTTTCTGGGGTTATTTCTCCACTGATCTCCAGTAGCATATTGGACACCTACCAAGCTGCAGAGTTCATCTTTCAGTGTCCTGTCTTTTTGCCTTTTCATACTGTTTATGGGGCCTCAAGGCAAGAATACTGAAGTGGTTTGCCATTCCCTTCTCCAGTGGACCATGTTTTGTCAGAACTCTCCACCATGACCTGTCCATCTT